CTAGAGATCTCTGATCTCTAGACTCTAGACCAGTCATTTTGTTAGCTTTAGTCAAACTCTCTGATCTCTAGACTTAGTAAATGACTAGAGTCTAAAGATCTCTGATCTCTAGACTCTAGTCATTTACTAAGTCTAGAGATCAGAGAGTTGAAAGTTATCACATTAAATAATGAAAATTATAAAGGATTTTAATAAATATATAAAAATGAGGAATATCGCACTTCTGACAATCGCTGCGAGTGTGTGGGTTAAATTTGGAGAATCCGCGCTTCTCGCATGGACAACTGTATATGGCCAGCTCACGCGTCGGAAAACCTTTTGATTTATTCGTGTACGCACCAGACGGAAAAAAAAATATCGTGTATCCACAAGCACTCCAATAAATAAATAGAATTGAAACGACACTTTGAAATGTTTTTTCCATGAAAATGAGTAATAATAATAAGTTTCAATAAAAATAATAAAATGTAGATTGAATTTTATCATAACCAGTTTGCTTGAATTTCGTTTCTTCTGAGATCGCAGCAATGCGCGACGGGTAAGCTAGTTATATTATAATAAATAAGTTAAAGGTACATACCAAAAGAAGAATCTGAAAAGTTTCTTCAATTTAGGGAATTTTCCTCTCTTTGGTGCATGTTCCTTTGATTGACTGGCATGCACATCGGATGTCATATCCTCGGCTACCCTGTTGTATCAAAATGAAAAATTCAAATTAATCGAAAACTATTAAAATATTAATTTTAATAATAAATAATAATCTTTGTTTTTCTATAATATATTATTAAAAGTATTTCGTTTCTATAATATAGAAATAACGCAGAAAATAATATAAAAATACGTAAAATAATTAACATTAAATAAACAAACATAAATTAAATAAACATAAAAATCTTACCTGTCGAGACAATGGCTAACAGCTTCCAGCTCGACTTTCTGATGATGATTCTCTCATTCGTTTTTATCAACTTGTCGCCAATGAGAATCGGTGTAGCCGAAACAATCCTCGGAAAGATCGAGAACAATATCCGAATAGTTTGTTTCTTGGTAACTTTCCAAGTCACAATCAAAGAAATCATCCCGATCATCATTATCAAGATCAAATTGCTCCTCGCACAACTCTAGCTTTCTATAAACAATACAGAAAAAAATGAGATAAAAACATTACATGTTACCCATTAGATACGTATTAAATAAATATAAGAATCTTACCTGTCGAGACAATCGCCAACAGCTTCCAGCTGAACTTTCCCATCGCACGATATCCGAGGATTCTCACATTCATCGCAACGAAAGCAAACATCAACTTGTTGCGAATTAGAATCGCCATAGCCGAAACAATATTGTGTAGTCTGTCAAAATATTACTCACCTTTATATCCAACGCAAATAAATTCCAGAAATAACTCCGAAAATATCCACAATGTTTTTCCCATTCGAAAATCACCCACTTTCGCAACAAAGAAAGTGAAAAGTATTGTTGCCCATATTCTTGCGTTTCCGCGTGACGTCGAAGCCGATGTAGTAAAAATACTCGAAACNTATTTTTATAAAGATATTTGTACAGAATATTGTGTAGTCTGTCAAAATATTATTCACCTTTATATCCAACGCAAATAAATTCCAGAAATAACTCCGAAAATATCGACAATGTTTTTCGTATTCGAAAATCGCCCACTTTCGCAACAAAGAAAGTGAAAAGTATTGTTGCCCATATTCTTGCGTTTCCGCTTGACGTCGAAGCCGATGTAGTAAAAATACTCGAAACTTTGAATATCCGATTCATATTTATTTATTTCTCTTTTAACGATCCTTATTACAAATGAGTACTATACATTAATTGCTGTGCTTTTTAAAAAATCTTTAAAAGTCTTCAGAATCGTTTTTAAAAATCTTCAAAACGATTCTGAAGATTTTTAACGAAATGATTTCTTTTCGTTATAAAGAAATAGACAAAGAATTCTTTTTGCCCGAAAAAGCTTCGTCTCACCATGCACATTCGACTTCAAAGCCAATCGAGAATGTCTTCGGATATTTAGCACAAAGAGTATAAAAGAAAAGTTGAAAAGTGAAAAATATCACACAATTGATCAACAATCTAAATCATTCCCAGCAGAACAATTCAAAATATATCACACCCTTTTGGCTGTTGAGATTCGTTTAATTTTGGCAGACGTTTTCAACCTATTAAATAGGTCATCTTCAAAGGCCATTTTGCTTGGAACATCTTTACCGTTAAATATCGTTCCAAAATAGAATACATAAAAATAATACAAGAATAACAACGTTTAAATATTTGAATACAAAGCAAAAATAACTAAAAATTAACAAAAATAATGAATTACAGTAAAATACAATAACTCAAAAAATATACAAAAATATATAGTAGAAATGAACTAATTATGGTCTTACGACAAACTTATTTTTCACAACATATTTTCATGCCGTTGATAAACTGTCCGCATCTCTTGCATTAATGCAATCCTCTTTCAACTCGCTTTTGTATATTTCACGTTTTTTTAGCGTTCTGTGCGAATGTAGGGATTATAGAGACTTAATAATATTTGCCTCTTCTTATTTTATCAGTGAGCCCTCAGTATGCGCCATCCTAAACAGTACCGTGGTGTCGAATGCCTTTCTTACGTCATATTGATCTTCTTTGAGTCTAACTTTCAAGTGTTTTGTGGTAACGCTGATGTAATCCTTGTCTATCCGCAACTGCATGTTTTCATATTGTAACTTGTATACACTGCCATTTTTGTATTTTTAATCTATCGTTATCGTTTCTTAAAATTCATTACATGTTTGGGGCTCTTTTTACAATCATATTGCAACCTTTAAGTTCTGCTATTTCTTTTATGATGTTTTAGTTATACTACTGTTAAAAGTGCATTTCATGATTTCACTAGGATTGCTGGTTTATCTTTTAGAGTTGTTACTTTGTAACCTTCTATTCAGACCATCTATTGTGTTAGTTCCATATCCTAGTGTTATGGCCATTTGTTTAATTTGTTAAGTTCCTTCATTCTGCCTATTACATATCCAGAATATAAAAAAGCTCTTCTGATAAATGCCTGAAGTGCTGCTAGCTTGTATTGATAAGGATTATTTGAATTGGAAGGGATGTACAGTGGGTTGTGTGCTGGCTTGATGTTTACACTTGTGTGTATCCTTCGACTTTTAAACTCTGTTTATATCCAAAAATGCAGATGTAGTAGGCTTTTTTGTTCCGTTTTCATTTTCAACTGTTAACCTTATTAATAAATTCAGTGATTCTTTGTTTATTTTTTCAAATTGTGCATAAATCATATAGACATCTTTTAAAATATATAATATCTGCTTTGAAGCCATTGATAATATATTTTTCCAGTTTTCCTAACACTAATTCACATAACACTCCTGATATTGCGTTCCTCATGGAAACTCTTTTCTTTTGCCTATATACTTGGTTATTAAAAATAAAGAATTTGTAATTAACTTACTCCAGAATCTGCAAAAGAGAATGGCCTAGGTCAACCTGTACCTTTCAATAATAGTAGATCTTTATTAGTAGATTCATCTTTATTAATTTCAAGTTCTTTTAAAAACATTTTAATATTTAACATGAACTAATTGTATGAAAGTTGAATGAAAATACACGAATACAATTAACTACAATTAAGTTGAATAATAAAATCATCCTTTACGACTACAACTATCCTTGTATATATTAATGAGGCACTGCATTAAAAATATTAGAAAAGGCTTATCATCCACTGGCTTACTCTATAACACTAAAATTACATAAATGAATCATAGTTTCCATTGTTTGAAACTATATTAATGAAATAAAAAAAGAGAAAATATTCTTTAAACAAGAAAATNAATAATGAATTACAGTAAAATACAATAACTCAAAAAATATACAAAATTATATATATAGTAGAAAATTAGGAGTTTCTAACAAACTTATTCTGTACAGTACAATGTATTTTCTTGCTGCTAAGCTGTCCGCATCTGTAGAATTAATGTATTTATCTTTCAACTTTCTTTTATATATTTCAAGTTTATCAGCTTTTTGTGTTAAAGTTGGAGAGTGTGTAGATTTAATGATATTTGCCTTTTCTCATTTTATCACAGAGTCCTCAGTTTGCGCCATCTCGGATAGTACCGTGCTATTGGATCCCTTTCTTGCATTACATTGATGTTCTTTAAATTAAGTCTAATTTTCAAGTTACTTGTGGTAACACCGATGGAATCCTTGTTCAGGGCCGTGCCGTGCTATGATGCAGAGATGCGGCCGCATCAGGCGGCACCGTAATGGGGCGTCATAAGCATCATTTAAGATGTGGCATAAGCGGCATTTAAGAAGCGGCATTTCGAAGACTTGCTTCATACTGAGAAAATCTACCGCACGGCCCTGTCCTTGTTGATCCCAAACTGCATGTTTTCATATGGTACCTTGTACTGTACATACCTGCCTTTTCTTCTTTTTCTAATCTATCCTTATAGTTTCATAAAATTCGATACATCGTTGGGGCCGTTTTTACAACCATACTTGCTAAAATACTCTTTTAGTTTCCGTAGGGTGGGAGTTAAAAACAACTCTAGTACTCTCTAATTTTAGTTATTACAATTAATAATTTATAGTAATCTAAAATTCGTAAAATATTCAAGATTTTAAATTATATTAATACATCTTTCATATACAGATTATTATCAATAGGAGTATAATTGGTTACATAAGTATCCACCAGATGTTTCCTACTTCCGTTTTAGTTCAATGACATTCGGTTACTTAGGAACGTGGAACTTGTGTGTTAAATACGTCACGCCGTAACGCCCAGCAGCAGAGACGTAACAGTGTGTGTTCCGCACATCACTTGGAATAAGTGTGCTGCCCGATAGGGACAATATCTTTAAGATCATAGCGAGTTGGGAGAAACCTGGAATCAGGTTTAGATGGAATCACATTTTAAAGAGTTTGTTCTGTTTGAAAATCAAATTTAAAACAAAACAGAAATGTCGAATAGAGTCTTAAGAAAGCTTCATGGCGATAAAGATATCGTAGCTAGTTTAGGGGTCGAAGGAATGAGCGAATCAGATGATGGAGGCAGTCAAGCTAGTGGAATTGTCAAGAAGCAATTAGCTGCGAATCGATTCGAATTGGTGAGAATATTAAACTAAATCAGAAATATAATTATTGAAATTGGCCAATATCTTTTTATTATAAATTTAAAAGAATAAAACGATTACATAAAATTCATTCACATTCAGGTTACAGATGGGATTTTCCCATCAGGCTGATTAAACGTGTTAATCATCACCGCGTTTAATTGTTATTTACGATGATCGTAATAAAAAGCGAAATTACATGCGACGTGACAACAGAAATGGAAAAATTCCGTACAATAATTGCAATCCATTTTATATGTAAAAAGAATTTTTGTAGATTTAGTAAATTCATCTCAATGAAAATCAATATCATTTCATTGACATTTCCATCATCTAGTGGACAAGATCATTGAATTTAAGCTTTAAAATTTGTAATTAAATTATCAACAGATTATTTTGTTTTTGTATTAAGTCTTTGAGTATTAACAAATAATTGCTTAAACAGAATACACCCCAAGAATATATTATAAGAGAAATTAAATATTACATATCATAGATATTGCATTGATACCATCAAATAGTAAATATTCTTACATCTGTTCTAAATGTTAAATGTTCCATTTTTAGTACTAGTTTTTCTCTTAGTATCAATAACATAAAAATATCTAGTTGCAAGACTGGACATTTTTATATTATTTTGGAGCATACTAAAATTTATAAATAATATTTTGAGAATAACAAGTACTGTACATCCTGTTGATTGAATTGACAGTATATATTTTTAAAGAAAGATATCTAAATCAATTAAAATGGAATTCATTTAATAAAGTTTAAAATGTTTTAACTAATTAGTTAAAAATAAAGTTTTAAAGAAAATATTCTGTTTAATCTTGTGTTATAAACTGAGATCCATTCTAATCTTTTGATAGTATATAACATTATAAAATGTTAAATAAGCTCTGTAATTTATTTCAAAAGCAACTTTGGGGAAAACAAATGAATAATTGATTTCTATTTTAACCTTATTTTGAACAACATAATCAATATATATATCACTTGTAATTATCAGCTGTTCTGGTCTAATTGTAATTAATTATAGATTTTGTTTAATTATATTAGCATATTTTATTCATTAATACTAGCAATCATCATCATTTATAGTAGTCATCATATATTAAGTTTTAAGAGTTCATTCTGATGTGTTTGTAATTTAATATCTTTCTGTTAACTTGATCTATATTAAGTAAACTATAACTAGATTAATAAAATAAAATTTTTCTGATTTAATGAAAAAACTCTGCTTTGAAAGAATTAATTTGAAAATGAATTAATTAATGCTGTTTTAAAGATTCAACTCAAATATTTGAACTGATTTATTATTTTTGCATTTATTGTTGAATCATTTCAAATAAACAAAATTAAATTATATAAAATTGATTTTATTTAAATTCTAGTATCACATTAAAACTTCATTAATGTTAAAATGATAAATTATAATTTTCATAAAGCCCTTGATATTTTACATGAATAACAATTTGTAATGTTCTTTTAATTAAATACAGTTGAGTCCAATCATCCTTGGAATCATTGCATTATGCTTCCTTATCCAGATTGCTCCCTTACCTGAAGTAACAAAATTACCCAGGGGGTTAATGATTTTCAATTATTTTCTTGTTTTTACATCTTAGGAGCTCTATGTAACTTAGAGCTCCTATAGCAATACATTTGAAAAACATTAAAATACACTAAAATTATGTGATAATGAATTTACATATTGATTTCCATTCTTATATCAATAGTTTTATTGTTTTATTGAATAATCAGTAAACTTAGTATATTTATGATGAAAGTTGAAATGAAAGTAGTGTGGGTGATAACCAACACTACTATCATTTCTTCCTATAAATATAGTAGAAGATCTAGCTGAAAATTTGTGAACATCTTTGCTCCAAAATTTCTGAATGTTCACTAATGGGATATGCAGTATAAAAACAAATAAGTACAGGATTGCCTTAAATGATTCCAAAATTTGATTGCTAATCACTTTGTCTTGTCCCCTTGAAATGAGGATTTATGATTTCTACTGTTTGTTCATGTATGTTTTGATACCTTTTTAATATGACCAATAAAATCATTTGTCTAATAAAACCTGTTCCTTATGATTCTGTAAGAAATCTTTTTGACTGTCCTTGTATTAGAAAACTAACCAATGGCAGTTTCATCAAATCTTAATAAATACAGTAATGTAGAGAGCCTTGTCTCTTTATGTCTATGTATTGTAAGATTGAAGATAAACCCTTATAAATCTTCCTTAGAGTTGTGCTCTCTTATATGAACTGCTGCTCTAAAAATTTCAAAATTGTTGTGTTCATTTAAATGGACTGCTGTACTAACTAATGATATGTTAATAAATGCCTTTTAATATAAATCATGGAAAAAATTGAGAATGGGGAGTGCTCTCTAAAGCAAACTGCTACTTACCTGGTGCTCTGTTAAGTAGACTTGATTGTACTTCCTAACATAATAAAAATTACATATTTGCTTTTTTCTTCATAATTACTGAAATGAAAATTATAAGGATAGTATATTAGGTTTATAACTTATTTTGTTTTCAATATGATGATTATTATTTTGATCCTATCTAAATTTTAATTTTTAATGTCTTATTTTTAATATTGCTGTATTGCTCAGAGATGTCATTGCTATTATAATAAAAAATTATGAAGGAAGATAAACATACGTTAGAAATTTTTAATGCTGTTATAAGCTTTAAGATGCCATTTCCATAAGAAAAGTGTAATATGTTCAATGAATATACAAAATTGAACAGTTTATGATGGATGATGAACTTTATTTCAGATTATAGAATAAACAGTCACAAGATAATACCACGCTTCGAAAATTATAAGAGCATCAAAAACTGAGTGTTTTTCAAACGATTTTTTATCATATTTTGTGTACTATGGAATAATACTTTCAATAAAGAAAATGCATGAAATTAAATATTTAATAAGCAAGTTAGTAATATCATCATATATTTTGTTTCATAATATTGACAGCTTTGTTTTGGCATAAATTTTCATATTTTTTATAATCAATTATTAGGTATTAGCATTTTTTAAATTGCTTTTGTTTTGTTTATTATGTTTTTAGTAATTATATTAAGCAAAAAACTTAATTAATAATAAGAATGAATTGTAACTCAAAACAGCAATCTTTAAAATTTCAGTACTGTATAGAAAAAACTTTAGAATGTAAACAAACATATTTTCTTATATACTGAAAATCCTGGTGTCAAAGAATAGAAAATGCTTTTAGAATATTGTTAAAATATTACATAAATAATTTTTTTTTATTTTTTTAAAAAATTCTCCAAAAAGGTAATGATACTTAAAAGTTTTCCTAGGAATGCTAAATATTAAATTGGGCTGTGATATAGGGGAGGATGGGGTAACTTTGGCACATTAAGAATAAGTTAAATTTTTTGTAACAAATACTGCTGTAAACTGAAAGAAAAGCATTGTTTATTGTCTACTAGGATGTTACCTTACTATAGAACTGGTTAAAATCAGTTTGGAAATAAAAATAATCAAAATAATAACAACTTTACAAAAAGGCAACAGTAATAGGGCAAGATAGACAGGTATATAAATTTGTGTTATTGATTGGAATTCACTATTAAATCAAAGAAATGCAAGTTCAAAAATTTATTTAATAGTATAAAAACAAAATTTGAGTTTAAAGACATGTATAAATAAAGAAAATGTAAACAAAAATTAATTTCAAAAAAATCAAACAGATAATAATTGAAAACATCCTAATGCAAATTAAAAGCAATATAAATGAATTAGTGAACTCAAACAAACAGTAGTAATGAAATATGCTTAATATCAAATTGTTTATGCCCTATACATATTGCAAATAAATTGAACGAAGTCATTTTCTGTACAGTCCACATTTGCACTGCCCACATTTGAGCCCACAGTTTACACTTACAACACATAATCCACTCTTCCTGAGTTGTTCCATATTGTTCATTGCAATATATGCAATAAGTATTTTCTTCGTCATTTTCCAGTTCTTTAGGACTTTTCTGCCCCTATTAGTGAACTTCGAATCCAATTTCTCCAAATCCATTGCCCTTCTACAATTTCCTGATTTTTTAACTTTAGCCTCGGCTTGTAGTGTGGCTTTGTATGGGGATCCAGTTATTTCTTGTGCTTGTTGTTTATCGTTTGCAACCAAATCAAACCATAGCAAAACATGATCAGGAACAAGATCGGCAACACTGCCGAAGATCCCCCAATAGTCATGATTTAGAAACATTAAGTGGTACCCTGAGAATAGGGTACCAAGCCATGATCTGCCACCTAAATAAGTTAATGTTTTATCCTTCTAACAGGAAAAATTACTTTCGTTATTATGGAATTATAACAAAACATGCCAATTCTATATAAATGAAAGCAAAATATTATAAGAAATTGAATGAAACAGACAACTTATTAGATATTTCAACTACGCTTGTCAGAGAACAACACAGGCACCATACTCAACAAACTGTCATTAAAACTCAACTGCATAGTTTTTAAAGAGAGATTCATTTTATTTTGTTTCAAAGAAAATTTAATTGATGAACTTGCCCCATATGCCAAACTTACTCCGTCCTCCCCTAAATTGTTATAAATTTTTTGTGGATTGATTTATTTTCTTTTTATTTCTAAATCATCATTAAATTTATGCTTCGTAAAGATTTTATTATTTTTGCTTTAGTTACATTGTTATTAGTAGTATAATGTTCAAGTAAAATCATATGTTAAACACTATATATATTTAGTTTTGTTATTGTATAATTAGATTAATGCTCTAGCAGTTAATGAAAGATTTTTTTTTAATTTTAAGTAAATTCAAATTTTAAAAATGTTTAAAATATTTGAAATTAATAGACTTTGAAATAAAGTTTAACAAAAGAATAAATATACAAATAAAATTTTGAAATTAAACCATTAAAAGGTCATTTATTATTTATTATACATTGCAAAATTAAGCTTTTAAAC